CCCCAAATGGATGGCAGCAGTATTCAGTGGGAACAAAACCTGGGAGGAGGAGGTCTACCTTTTAGGCAGAGTCTCTCCCACAGTCCTGGGAAGCAGGAGGTGGGGGTAGTGAATCGGGGAGTCCTTGCTTGCCTGCATGCTGCCCCAGCACAGCCCTGGCTCCCAAGGCCTCATGGGGAACCCGAGTGGCAGAAGCTGTGGCGGGGGGTCGGGGAAGCAGCGGGACCCTCTCACCTATCACCCACTGGATCCAGATCACGTCGTAAGAGTCCGGCTCCGGGCTGAAGTCCTGGAGACCACAACAGTAGTAGTTCCTCACCCTCTTGCCCTCCTCCCCCAGGTAGGTCTTGGCTTTAACCAGAAAGTCCTCTGTCATGTCAACCATGTCCACCACTCTGAAGAGTGGCAGCAGCAGCCGCTTGGTGATCCTGCCAATGCCAGCTCCACAGTCCAGGGCACAGGAAGTTCCTGTCTTGTTCGGGCCTTCCTAAAAAGCAGAGAAGGCATAGGACCTATCAGAGGGACCCTGTCACTGCAAAGGGGCCCTTCCTCACCTGTCCTGGGAATAAGACTCACATCAGGGCTCCGCACAAGCTGGTAGCCAGCACTGGTAGGGAGGTCAGCAGTGTGAGCAGGGATACTTTTTTTGGGTCAAATATTTCTAAAACCAAAGCCAACTTTCACAGGTGAGAACCTGAACAAGTGCATTAATCTCTCGCTCCTGAGACCCCAGGAAAACAGCAGCACAAAAAAGGATTCAGGCGGGAGAAGGAAGAGGGCCATCGGTGGACAAGGCTGGGAAGATGGCAGTGGGCAGTGGAGAGAAGGCGCTGGCCAAGGCAGCCGAGGAGGGAGCAGGCCCAGGGACCCGAGCCTGGTATGGAGGAGAGCAGGTGCTACGGTTTGGATGTTTGTCCCCCCAAAATTCATGTTGAAATCTGATCCCCAATGTGGCAGTGTTGGGAAGTGTTTGGGTCATGGGGACGGATCCCTCATGGAAAGACTAATGCCCTCGGGGGAGATGGGAGGAGTGTGAGTGAGTTCTTGCTCTGCCCTGTGAATTCCCCTGGAGAGCTAGTTGTTACAGAGAGCCTGGCACCGCGCCCCCAGCCATGGGATCTCGCATATGCCGGCTCCCCTTCCATTTTCCACCATGAATGTAAGCAGCCTGAGGCCCTCATGAGAGGCAGCTGCCCCCAAATCATGAGCCAAATAAACTTCTTTTTTTATAAATTACCCAGTCTTGGGTGTTCTGCTATCACAACACAAAACAGACTGACAAGGCCCATTTTCCACCATGAATGGAAGCAGCCTGAGGCCCTCATGAGAGGCAGCTGCCCCCAAATCATGAGCCAAATAAACTTCTTTTTTATAAATTACCCAGTCTTGGGTGTTCTGCTATCACAACACAAAACAGACTGACAAGGGGGTGCTACAAGTAGGGCCAAAACCATGGTGGGTAACTAGGAGTCTGCCGGCAGCAGAACAGCTGATACCCACAGCCCTGACACGGGCAGACAGGGCAGGAGAGCAAAGGCTTCGACCCGGCACAACGGAACGTCTGAGAGAAGACTGCTCAATTCTGGCACCACAGCCGGCTCCTTTCTGGTAACCTTGAAGCAAAGTCCACGGTCCAGAAGTCGCACCCCCCCGCCCCAGCCCAGCTCTAGGCCTTGGTGGCACCAACAGACAAGCGAAGACCCTGCAGTGTTGCGCGGAAGAGACGGCGCCCGCGCAGACCAGGCGCTGCCACAGCACGGCCTCTCCTGCAGCGCACGCCAGCCCTGCCTACCCTCAGAAACCTCTGCAGGAACTTCCGGGAGCTGCTGATGTCGATGCTGGAGATGTGGCCGTACCCCCCAAGCATGCCGTCCACTGTGGCCGGGATGTGCTTCCAGTACGTCTTGGCCTTCGAATAGAACTGCTTCTCATCTTCGATCACCTCGCTCGTCATGCTGCCTGCCACCAGCCACGTCTGCACTCAAGCACCACACTCGGCAACGGCGCCTCTCCTGAGTAAGGAAAGAGGAGTGAGCGAGCCCACACAGGGAACGCAGCAGAAAGTCCTCCCCAGTGGGAGGGCCAGCCTCACACCAGCCTTCCTGAGCCACGCAGTCCTGCCTGGTGCAGAGGAGCGTCTGGTACCTCCAAATCTGCTTCTCCCCCTTGGATGACAGCACCTCTGTCTCCTACATTCAAAGCATGAGACCCAGCATCCTGGCTTTCTTGACATACTCTACAGGACACCTGACTGGTGGCTTCTGGCCCCTGGCGACAGGTAAGTCCAATCTACACTGAAGAGCAGACCCTGGGAGGGCCTGAGCAGTTCCCATGACGGTGACTGTGGGGGGTCCAGTCCTTCATTAACGTGAACGAGGGAGACAGCCAGGCAGAAAACGATGACACAGACACACATGACCACAACCGCAGTAAGAGCTGCGAAGGAGGAGTACAAGATGCTGGAGGAAGTTGCCTTGGCCGCAGGGATCAGGGAAGGTGCCCGAGGAAGGGCACACACAAGCTGAAGCTAACAGATGGGCAAGAGTCAGTGAAGCAGGCGGAGGGTAGTGTGCTGCCCTCGGAGAAGATCCCACAGACAGCCCATGCAACTGGACTCAAGGTCTTCTGGGTCATATTCAGCAGTTTAGACTTTAATCTAAAGAGCAATGAACTTGAACCACCTTTGGGCTAAGCAGGGAGTGGCACGGGAAAATCTGTGCTTCCAAAGACTGTGCGGCAGCTGTGTGGACTGCAGGGGCAAGGGAAAGCAGACGCCGACTAGGCAGACCGCCTGCCGTGCTGGGTGAGAGGGATGACGGCTTAGCAGCTTCACAGCAAGCCACCCTTGCCACATCCATTGTGTTGGGGGGACAGAAGGTCACACCTCTATCCTGAGGCTCTGGCACACGCCAACAAAGTACCAGCATGCACAGGGACTGCTCTAGTTGCTGTGAGGCTTTTTGATCAGTTCTGACCCCCAGAGAGCTTGTAGTCCAGGAGGAGAGACAGGAAAAAAAAAAAAATGGAACCAACTAAAACACACAGCAGAGAGATGGGGATTCCCACTGAGTCATAAAGAGCTGTGGAAACTCAAAGCACAGAGGAATCCTCTTCCAACGATGGATGGGGGCAGTAGCCTGGAGGAGGTGACCCGAGCTGGGCCCTGGAGGACAAGGTTGCTCTGGATGGGGACAAAGAATGGACAGAGGCAGAGGCGGTGTGACAGCGTGTGCTGTCAGAGGATGAAAGTGGAAAGAGGGAAAGGATGTTGCAGGTGAACTTGTAAAGGCAGACTGGGCCTGGATCGTGGTGGGCCTTGAGCACACTAGGCACCATGGGGCCATTCTGTCATTAATGGGAAGCTAATCCACTGAGAGATTCCCCAGGGCAGTGGGGTGTGCAGGGGCCCATCCTGAAGGGAGGCAAACTGGCAGTGGCCCTGCTAGTTGACACAGGACAAGTGGCAGCAGCAGCTCATGTGCTGCACGATGCATACTGATCACTTTCCACTGACCACTGGATCATCACAACCAACTCTATGAGCCAGTTGCGACAATCACCCTGCTGTATAGACGGGATCTGATGCATGTGGAAGTGCTCTACCCAAGGTCAAGAGGCCCGTGCACTTACTGAGCCCTAGGCCTTGACTGCTCTTCCTACATGGGCAACTCACTCTCATCACATGGGTCTCCGCTTGGTGTCACCTCAGAGGCATTCTCTGACCAGCCTATCTAAAGTGGCTTCCTTCCACACCCTTAGCTAATCTGTGTGCTCTGCTGACTTCATAAGGTGTGTTTCTACCTGAAATTATACTGTCTACTTACTGTTCATGGGCCTCCGCTAGAGCATAAGCTCCCAAGGGCAGGACCTTGCCTGTTCAACACTGTTTCCCCAGCACTGAGCCCAGGAGTTCTCAGTACAGTGTCTGACAGAGAAATGATGGAGCCCAGTGCTGCTGTAAGTCCCTGAAGGTGAGGTGTGTCTCCTCCTCAGTGCAGAGCCTGTGGGGCACAGAGAGGGAGGGCAGCCTGGAGGGCAGGGGTGGATGTGCTCGAATCTTCCAGGAAAACTGCACACTTCTGTGCTCCTGGGGTTTTACTCACCAACCATCTGTATAACACTCTATTGGGCTGTGGTAAGTCACTGAGCCCTGGAACTACACTGCCGACACAGAGTCGACATGTGGAGTGCTGGTATAGTCCTCAGAGACAACTACAATAAAAAACTATGACCAAGGAATGCTTTCAGGGCTTCAAGAAAAGTTCTCAGACAGAAAACAGAAAAGTGTTCAAAGGATGAGCATAAGGACTTCAATATGTAATTTAGAGACTATAAGCTATGACCAAGGAATGCTTTCAGGGCTTCAAGAAAAGTTCTCAGACAGGAAACAGAAAAGTGTTCAAAGGATGAGCATAAGGACTTCAATATGTAATTTAGAGACTATAAGGGAAGATGGAAGGAGAATAAAACACAAGAAAAGCTAAAGAACTTTCATTTGTCTCGTGTTACTAGTCTCCATGCTGAACTTGTCCTGAAAGACAAGGAACCTTTCAGAAGCTGCAGGCCCACCCCAACCAAATGGTCCTAACTGATACAACTCTGCTTTGGCCACTGGTCAGTCTCTTCTAGAAAACCTAGCCAGACGGAGTGGGAGGGGGCAGGGGTGAGGACACCAGGGAAGGGCCCCCTGTGACTGCTGAGAGCAGATGGGAAGGGGCTCCTCCCACAGATCTGGCATTCTTCATAGACAAGGTCACATACTGGTCTTCTGAGAGACCACAGAGAGCTGACAACATTCATGTGCCCTACCAGGGTCTAGTTCTCCTGACATCTATGATTTTGTCACTGTTTCCACCCTTAATAGAACCTTTTGCTGTGCCCAGAGAGAAGCCTGCTTAAATCCCTCCTCAGATTCCTGAATCAAACCACAGACTGATCCCCTCACTTCACCATTTGGACACAAGGGTTTGGGGCCACGATGAGGACAAGCTGCAAGCACTACACCAATCGAGGAGCCCTCTGGGGCAACAGGCTGGGGGACCTCGGCTCACCACCATGCCCTCACACCAGTGCCCCAGCACACCAGGAGCTACAGCCCCGGTGAGAGGAAACGGCACACTGCTTAGAAGGAGCTCTCACTCCAACCTGGTGGTTCACAGCAAGCGAAAGAATGTCGAACCCTGCCAATCCCCAACACTGCTAGCTGAGGCAGGGGGATGGCACTGCAGCTCCTTCAGAGCTGACAGGAAAAGGGGCCACCAGCCTGAACATCACCAGACAGTTGGGTCTGGGGGCTGCTTACTTGATGGGGGTAAGGACCCAGGCCAAATGGGCTGCCCATGCCCTGCCAAGGGGCACCACAGCAACCACATCACAGGCCCTCCATCAATTACCCAGAGAAGACATCATTCAAAACCAGCTCTTCCACACCATGCCAGCCCAACTCCGATTCAGACTGCAGCTCAGTGAAATCATACCTGTCTCCCTCTCACCACCCACCAGTCTTGGCAAACTTCAGGTTTTGTATTCAAATCTCTCTACCTACTTCACTGGGAGCTCCTTGAAGAGCCATGGCAACATCCTGAGATTCACCACTGTATTTCTCTTGTGTCCCACATAGCACATAGGTATTCAGTGAAAAGTTCACTTCTGATCAAATGAACAGAATAAATCTGGGACCAAACACCAGGCTGTACTCCCTGCCTATCTGTGTGCTCCCCTCCCAGGATGCAAACTTCCTGGGAGGGACATTACCTTGTGCACCATTAGCTCCGTGCTTGACACAAGGTGGACGTGCACTAATTGGTTGTCGAACGAAAGAATAAGCTTTGTGCGGCTATAGCCATTTTCCACTTTTAAGAAAATCCTACAGACAAAAATCCAGCCATTCAAAACTGATAACACTGAAGGCCGTTACCGACAATATAAATTTCTGCTTTACCAAAAGCCTTACAACATGATTCCTTTAGATGTCAAGGTCCCCTGAATAATCTAATTTATAAGAATTCCACTTACACACAGATTCTAGGAACAAGCCAGGGGAGGCACATGTAGGCCAGGAAACCGCAAGTATAACTTTGATATTTGCTACAAGTGATTCATTAATAAACATGATTCCTGGGATCCTATCTACACTGTGCCTCCCAGTATCCAGATCTGAGTGGGGTAGGTCTTTAGGTATCAGAGGGAACAGCAAGGTCGGTCACCCAAACAGCAGGAAGTCTGCCTATACTCCGCTGCAGAGCACAGTGAGTTGCTATGTGGCTGCAGGTAGGGGGAAGGGGCCAGGGGCACACCTGGCTTTGCGTGTGCTCTAAGCTACCTCAGAAAGAGAAACGCTTTGCTCATGGTAAATGTCTGCTCCTTGGTGGGTAGAATGTGGTCTGCACATCCTTCACGGTCATCTGGCCACCTCCACCAACTCCTCCAAAGTGTTTAGGGCCCCACGTGGACAGCAGCCCATCTACTACTTCTCTTCTCCCAGGATTCACGGAAGAAAATGGTGCTTGAACTGTCACCGGCAGGCACACTCAACTCATGTAAATCTCTAAGAAAAATCCTGCCTAAAGTGACCTCCTCCCTCTTGCAGCCTGCTGGACAGAGCCTTTCTCCCTGAATCTGTATGAAGAGCAGTTGGACTTATGAGAGTGGCAGAATGTTCTATGAAAAAGAAAGGGAGGGAGAAAGGGAGTAAGACAATAACAACAACAACAACGGAAGAAATTTAAAAGGCTCTCATGGAGTCGGATGAACCAGGTCTGAATCACACTCTGCTCACCCGCTGTGTGAGCTCAGATAAGATGCTTAACCTTGCTGTTCCTCAGTTTATCTATGAAATGTGAACAGTAATACTGACTTTATAGAAAGACTATGATGATTAAATGTACATATAAAAAGCTTAAACTGCTCCACACAGTGCCAGGCACATATTCTCTCTTTAGCTTAGAAATCTCTGTGAAATGAAAGTCTCGTCAACTCTGCCAATTGTTAAGACCAAATGAGAAAATGCATTAAGATGCCATATAGACCGCAGAGTGTTGGACACACCACACCTAAGGGATTATTACTGGTATGCTGGATGGTCAATCCAGCAGACTCAAACAGCTCTGCAAATCAGCAAGGGTGGCGAGTGAGCTTCCCCTCCATGTAAGTACGGAACCACTGCAGAGATTTCTGAGACGCTGTCCTTGTGATCCTATGGATTCTGGCCTCCACCAAAGCATTCTACACGTACTCCAACCTTCCCACGTCCCCAGTATACAGAGAGAAAAACCAACACACTAAAGGAAGTGATGTGCCTTAAAACCTTAAAACACACACACACACAGGAAACCTGGAACAGAATTAAGGAGGGAATCCAGGTTTTCTTATCACAGCCCGGGTCTCTCCCAGGGGCTCATCCCACCTCCCTGGGCGATCATTCTATACATCACAACCATCTGCTACACTGCCCCACCCCACCGTCAGGGCCTCTGACACTAGTTCTTTCAATCCCTTATTGTACAGATCAAGGTCCTGAGGAAGGAAGGATCACACAGTCGGTGGGCAGCAAAGTCTGGGCTTTCCAATACGGCAGCCTCCTGCACACAGGCTGACCTTGGCTCCAAGGGCTCCTGGCGGTAGTTGGTCTTTAGAGCTGCGTCTGTGTCGGGCCGGAGCTGGGGTTGGGCCCAAGGTTAAATATGGCAGCAATTCCTATGCAACGGGCACTTAACTGTGACAGGCTGTGAGTTGCATCTGAAGATTCCTCACACCCACCCTCCAGGTAGGTGCTCTCCTTACCCCCGTTCCTCAGAGGGGAAACTGTGGTTCAGAGAGAAAGGGACTTGCCCCGGCCTGGGGACCGGCGTGGGGGACTGCTCCGCTTCGACCCGTGGCTCTCGGTGATCCCTTCCCAGGTCTGGCCAGCCGACCTCCCGGAGACGCGCACGTGGGGTCCGGGCCGGCCCGCGCGCACGCGCCCGGGTCACGTGACGAGCCGAGGCAGTTCGGGGTCGAGGCTTCCCC